TGCGCTGGTGAAAGCCAGCATTCACTGTGGGCCCAGCCACAGCAGAAGAGGACTTCGGCCACTGTTCCAGGCCTGGTGGCAGACACTGGCAACTCCTGCGGGCCCAGATGTGACAGACGCCAGCAGCTGCTGCAGGCCTGGGCATGGCAACAGCAGACATGCAGCCACTGTGGGCCCAGGCACCAGGCTCCATGATGGGGCTTGGAGCCTCATCAGGCTCAACAATGGAAGGGGGGGAATATGGGATTCCCCACTCCTGTGACTCTCCCAGGCCCCCCACTTATCTATATATTAACAGCCAAGTTGGCCAAACCTTTTAATACATCTATCTGGTGACTGGAGATGTCAACAAGCAAGCAGACCTTTCTACAAACTGAAAAAGGCTCCAGGTTTCCAGAAAAATGTGAAATCTAAGAAAAAATACATTGGGTGGTTTAAAAAACCTGAATATGATAAAAGGAGCAACTGCAGCTTTAAGCAATGGATTCCCTCAGTGGCTGTTGCTTGGCAACCACAGTATTCCATCCTGGATTTCTGTGAGTAGAAAGGCATGGGAAGGGGAGGGGGCCCTTTCCTGGCCTATTTTGGGCCTCTGAGGGAGGACTCATCGGGGCTAGGCCTGACTAGGGTTGCCAGCTCCACTTGGGAAATCCCTGGAAATTTTGTGGTGGTGTTTGAGAAGAACAGGCAGCCCCATAGCAAGGAATTTTTTCAGTGTGTGTGTCGGGGGGGCACTAATTAAATTAATTTAAACTGAGCCAGATCCCAGTTAGGATCCAAGCATCCAGCTTCCTCACCAGCCCCGTTGTGGAGGGCTGTTTGTGTCACACTGCCCATGGGTGGTATCATTCCATCACTCACCGAAGTCCAGGAACTGCTTGACTGAGAGCAGCAATGGAGAAAAGCGGGCATAGTGCTCGATCTGTTTGGGGATAATTGGGCTCTTCAAAAGCGCCCCACACAACCACAAGGGCAGGCAACACAGCGAGATCAGGACCCGGAACAACTAGCCGAGCAACTGTTTGGCACATGCAGAGCCTCACGTACACAAACAGCACAGGGGGTGGGGGAGGCCCAAGCACCTGTCACAATGGCCCATCGCCTGATAGCAAGGCTAGTGCGCAGGGTGGTATGAGGTACCGCATCCACCTCCACACGATTGCCTCCTCTCATAGTAAGAGGTCAGGCATGGACCCTCCTGCCCACCCGCCCCGCCCCTGCTGCAAGCAGTAATCCAACTCATCCTCACCAGCAACTGTTTTGGCTTAGCCCAGCAACGACGGTCAGCACCCACCTTCCAGACCAACACGGCATTCTGACTGGGCAGCAAGCCTCAGTGGGGGGTGTTGCTGGGGTGTGGGCACTGCAGATTTCAAAGCAGGTGCCGCCCTGTGTGCCCCACTGTTGGCTATGGACCTAAGGGCAGGGTTTGGGGTGGGGAGAGGCCTCAGCTGGAAATAATGCCATAAAGTCCACCCTCCAAAGCAGGCATTTTCTCCAGGGGGACAGATCTCTGTTGTCCGGAGTTGTTGCAATTCTGGGATATCTCCAGGTAGAACCCTAGGCCTGGCCTTTGGGTGACTTGATACCACCCAACTTGCATGACTCAAGTAGGCCTAGCTGCTAGCTACTGTTCAACAGCAGCCACTCTGTGAAAATTAGTGTGGTGTAGCAATTAGAGTTTCAAAGTAGGGTCTGGGAGACCCAGGTTCAAATCCCTGTTTTGCTGAGGAAGCTCACTGGGTGATTTTCAGCCACATAGTTTCAGTCTAATCTACCTCACAGGGTTGTTGTGTGGATAAAAAGGAGAGGAGAATAATGTAAGCTGCTGTGGTCCACACTATGGAGAAAGGTTGCGGTATAAATGAAGTAAATAAATAAATATAGCTGAAAATGGGAGGCAGATAAAAGGTGGCCTGGTGAATGGCTGAAAAGGAGAGAATTGGGCAGGGGAAAGGGAGAGGATGTGGCACCACACAACTAGTCCACAGTTTTCCTAGATAGAGGCTGCTGGGGGGAGAGGAACAATTTAAGACAGAGGGGCAGATCAAAGCAGGTTGGCAGTTGGGTGAAAAGGAGATAGGGTTGCCAACTCCAGGTTAGGAAATTCCTAGAGATTTGGTGGGTGGAGTATGGGGAGGGGGGGTTGAGGAGGGGAGAGACCTCAGAAAGATATAATGCTACAAACCACCCTCTGAAGCAGCCTTTCTCTCCAGGGAACTAGGGTTGCCAACCTCCAGGTGGGGGCTGGATATCACCTGGGATTACAACTGCTCTTCAGATGACAGAGATCAGTCCCCCTGGAGAAAATGGTTGCTTTCCTCCCCAATTTCCTCACCCTTCCACCCCCAAATCTCCGGGAATTTCCCATCTTGGAGCTGGCAACACTAAGGGGAGCTGATTTCTGTAGTTGGGAGCAGTGTTCCCTCTAAGCTGAGTTAGTGTGAGCTAGCTCACAGTTTTGTAGCCTCCAGCTCACACATTTTTGTCTTAGCTCAGGAACGATGGCTCCAGAGCAAACTAATTTATGCAGCAGCCGAATCTCCTGCTCACAACTTTAATGCCAGTAGCTCACAAAGTAGAATTTTTGCTCACAGGACTCCATAGCTTAGAGGGAACATTGGTTGGGAGATCTGTTGTGATTCCAAGAGACCGCCAGGTTGGCAACCCTAGGAGACAAGGAAGCAGGAACAGGGGAGAGGCACTTTCAGGAAAGGGGAAGTGAGATGCGTCCTTGAAGGTTCCCACTTGTAACTTTATAACGTTAGACTGTTAAAACTAATTACAGATTCTGTAAGCTTGCCAGAGTGAAAAAAAAGTGTTGTTTGTATAAATAAATACAACTCTGCACTAGAAAGGCACAAGAATCACAAATTTACCATGGGCTAGGTGACTTTTGGGACAGCATTAGCATGCTGCAGAACTCTGAATTTACTTTGGAGATCCCGCGATCTTCAGGTCTGGATTTTGGCTTAGTTCTCTGGGATCAGAAAGAAGGAAGACAAGGGTAAAATGCAGTGCAAACACGTGTTCAGCTGAATGTGGCCCGTGTATGAATCTAAAAACTGAATAACCTGGATGGGGCATGCCACTGTACCATTAAGGAGATGATCTTTCAACACTTGGAATGGTTATTAATAAGCTGTTAATAGTGTGTTTTTATGGTCTATGTTTTTCTGCTGGTCTGAGTTTTTTAATGCTGGATTTTAATTTATATCTTTTCATGTTTTGTTTTTATTATTTTTATTTTGTAAGCTGTCTTGGGCAGAGTCTTGGGGAGGTATAGCAATTTTCTGAATAAGTAAATATCAAGACACAAAAGCTTACCTGCTGCTCAAAAAGAAGGGTATTTAATGCCTGCCGGCACGGCAGAATCATCATCGGAAACCCAACTGCTACAGACATCATGAACCCCACGCGTATCATCTCAGTCACCGGATTGGATGGGAAGTTCATGAGTACATTCCCAGCAATTTCTTCAGTGTGGCTCACGTAGCCAAAGAACCCCACCTGTTCAAGTGGGGTACAGGAATTACTTACAGTGCTTGCATACATCCATTCATTCAACAGAAAGGGTAGAAGCCAGGGCATCCCTTGGGCCTGTCCCCAAGACAATGGAGAAACTATCTTTTCCTCCACTCATCATCCTTAATTTATCACATTCCTCTTATTTCCCCCCACACACTTCTAAAACTGATTAGAACTAATTCTTTATACTCTGTTCATAAGGGAACCATCTGGAATTCCACATCACTGATGCTGCATTTCCCCATGTGTTTCCAAATTCCAGTGCATCCTTACTGAGATTAGATGACCAAAGCAGCATGTGTATTTTAAAGAGCAGATGCACAATGGACTTATGATTGAGCAAAACAAATGCTCCAGTGTGATCGAAAGAAGCGGGATGACATCAAGCCCCTTCCACAGCTCTTGGCTAAAGCCAACATGCAAAGTTGTAGAGTTGCTTTGTGTAAAGAGAAATTATTGCTGTAAATTCAAATTTTCTCCAGCTTCATATATGACAAAATGGGAACTTCTTCCTATAAAAGCCAAGCCACATTTTTACCTACGTGGGTGAAAGGGAACTGAACAGTTAGTGTGTTGTCTGTCATGATCTCAGACTGCTTGGAGTGCAGCTACTAAAGGCAAGATAGTAACTGAGTCTAAAAACATCGCCCTTGAACAAAAGATTGGATGTAATCCACTCTCAAAAAGGAACTTTCTCCATGCCCTTTTCTCAGGCTCGTCTCTACATTTTAACTTGTTCTGCTTAGTGGTGTTTTTTAATGAAATATGGGATCTTTGAAGTCCTCCTAGTTGCAACAGGCTTACAAGAAAGTATTTCAGCCCACTCCACAAAAGTCTCCAGTATGGGTGAACTAAAACTAGGGCTCATTGCTTCTTGCCCCCAAAAGCAGTCAATTATGTGTACTAACAGACGAAGACCACTCAGGAGAGAACTTACTGCAGCTCAAAGAAGTAGCCACTTCCCAGACTCAATGGGATGCTAACACGTTTTCAGCTATGTTTCAGATTGGCAACTGGGAGCTGCACTTCACAAGTTCTGCCCCGTGTCTCTCCAGAGCCTTGTATTCACTGCCAATTCCATCAGCAGCAAAGGATAAATCAGCATACAGGGAGGGCTTGCAGTGCTTATCCTGATCTCTGGATATGAGAAATGTTGATGAAACTATCATTTCTGTGATCACCAACAGGATTTTCACTGCTTTGTATGGGCATTGGTAGAAGTTACAGATCAGGCTGTTTGAAGGCAGTATCTCTATTTAGCTAATTGCTCAGACAAAATACAGGGGGAAATTAAAGCCCCCATAACCCCCTCCTTACTCTAATTCTTCTAAATGGAATTTATTCTTTTGGGTTCTGTAACTGTCTCCCCCAGGAATGCGCACTGCATACATCTGAAAGTGTCATTACCACAGCTGTTGCTCTACAGCTCCAAAACTTACCCAGAAAAAGTATCTTTATTTGGGGGAAGGAGGGGATGACCGAGCCAAGGAAGGACTCAAGAAGGGTTCTCACCATAACGTAAAAGGTGGTGACCACATTTAGCGATGAGGCAAATATGGAACTCATGATTTTAACAGATGGCTCATCCAGGCTATCGTAGGTTGGCAAGACCTGGCTGCAGAAAAGCAGGTAAACATTAACTCATGTCAGAAAATTCTTGTCAAGAAAAGAAAGGTTCCTTTGCTATGAGCTAGCAGAAGGTAATTGCAGGCATCTTCCCCACATGGAGTTCAGACACATGCCACTCTACAGCAGTTTATGTTGTTAATGCAAGTTGAAGTGTTGCACAAATATCCTTGCTCTCCTTTTCCCATCACTGCCACGTGTGCAATGTAAATATTCAATTTTTTTTAAATGCTGCAACATGAATGACCGCTTGTTTGCCTGAAACACCAGTGGCAGAGCTCCAGACAGCACATTGAAGATTATTGTTCTTGGAGCACCACGAGTTGATAATTAAAGCAATGCGGTGTTTACAGAAAAACAAGCGGGAAGAGAGCTAAAACATCATATTGTCATAGAGAAAAGTTAAACAACCAATTCTAAACACTGTGCCTGTCATATTTCAGCACTGGTGCTTAAGTCCAAGCTTGAAGAAAACTTGGAGAGCCAATTACACAGGGACTGGGTGTGCTTTTGTATTTGGGAAAGCTTTGTCCTAACATCAGATGGATACATTATTACAGCAGCCAGAAGCTGCCTGGACCTTATTTGACCAGTACTCTCAAAGAAACACACAAAGAGATACTTTGAGGGAGTAGAGAGGAAGGTACAAAGAAAGAAGGACCCTCCTAGTGCTAATGGGCAGAAAGCCAGTTCGAACCACATCCAACAGAAGGTAAGCAGCGGAAAACAGAATTCAGCTACTGAAGACTGCAAAAGATGTTATTAAACTCATGATCACACCAGTCAACAGAGGGCATTTATGCAGCATGGTGGTGGTTAACCATTTATGGAGACCACAGCTGGTATGCTTTCTCTCAGACGCACTGAAGATTTCAACTTCATCACCATAATTATTTATTTAAAACATTCCTAAAGCCTGCTGGGACCTAAGGTGGGTAACAGACTAAAATCAAAAAGTTTAAAACATTGAACTATTAAAACTGCCACCAAAACTTTTGTAAACAACATCCACAAGAGATTTCTACCTCTTAAAAACTCAACAAACTAAGGAAGCCATCAAGGGACCCTCAACGTTCATTTTAAAAGTTCTGTCTCATGGCCCTCGTAAAATGGCAGGAGAAGTGAGGGCCTCCATACTTCCTTCCATAGGGTGGGAGCAACTAAAGAGAAAGCCTGCAAACAGACAGGAATGGAACACGGCCTCAAACACAATGTAAATGCTAAATGCAATAAAATTTATAAATAAAAAAAATATTAAAAAAAAGAAAAGAAATGACCACCCTGCACATGTGCTTGTATGCACACAGAGGATCAAAACACCTTGGAAAAAGCAGAGTCTGGTGAGATAATTTAGGGCATGAATCTACCCTAAAGAGAGGTTTCCATGACACAATAGGGGAAACCTTCCACAGGAAAGGGGTCTTTGGCCTTTTCATTCTCAATAGGCTAAGGTAGAATGAGTTGTAGGAAAGCATTCTTGGAGGTATTATCCATTTTAACAAAAGGTAAGAATGAAACTTCCATATTCAGAGGCAGAAAAGGGGGGAGGAGATTGCTATCGCCACCGTGCACTGCTCTGTGAGCTTTCCAAGGACATCTGGCTGACTGCTGTCTGGAAAAAGAATATCAGCCCTTATTACATGCCTGGCTAGATGGACTTTTGGTTTGATACACCAAGGCAATTCTTATATCCTAAAGAGAGGGGGGTCAGAAGTCAGCAGGAGCATATCGCTTAGCACCTCTGCTCCATGTAAACAAGCCCTGAGACATCCTGACTTTCCATCCATAGCTGTACAAAGTCCCCCCACCCCACCCCAGGCCTGCAAGTCAAGATTCCAATACACACACACCAAAGCAGCACTCCTCAATGTGCACAGGTATTATTTTTAAACTAAAGTGCCCATGCTAAAGGCCAAGACAAGATTGAGCTGTGCAGGGTGCAGAAGTCTTTGTCTGACAAACATTTTGTATGCTACAAGCTGAGGGCTCTTCACTTCACTTGCAATCACATAAACACAGCTCCTCGGGGTAGACTGAAGAAAGATATTTAGACCAAATGCCCTTTACATTTATTTCTCTATTCCCAAGATGAGCACAAGAAGAGAAAGAGCACAAACAAGCAGCTTCAGTGCTTGATATAGAGAAAAAACGGCAGCTTCTTGTTGATGAAGAGAAAGCTATTTCTTTTGTTAACAGATCTCCATCTCCATCATAAAAACCTATCCCTTGTGTACAGAAAACAGAAAGAGTGCCTCTGCAGTGTTATTCTTAGATTCATTAGGTACAGCAGGAAATACCACCCAGAGAAAGGACCAAATCCTGCAAAACAGAGAGCTCTAAGGGCTAAGATATTACGTTACAGTCAGGGGAGCAAGAGTCTCATTTCATCTAACGCAAGTTGGCCACTGTAAACAGGGCTGCATCTCTCATGTTCCAGAAGTCAAAGAAACCGAAGCATGGTCAACAGGCCTTTAAAAATGCCAACAGCCACAAAGCCACACATTATTACCAATGTGTCACAGCAACCAGCCATAGTGCCAGGTCAGCGGGCTCACACAAGATTCTTCTGTGACACTCTTCAAAACATATTCCCCGCAAAGGTTGTATCATCCTCATGATCCACACGACACATGAACTTTTGAGAAGGGGAAACAATCCACAGATCACCCGGGAAGCCTGTAGCAGAGCTAAAAGTCAAATCCTAGGCTCCCTGGCTCCTAGCCCCATGCAGTATGTTAGACCATATGGCATGCTGGGAAGCAAAGGCGTTTCTCTTTGAATCTGGCAAAGGTGACAAGCCTCAACACAAGAAAGCACCAACTTCACAAACAAAGTATACTTGTGTATTCAGGGTCAGACATGTATTCCAATGCATAGTATTTTTTCACCTGCAGAGGGAAGCAATTCAGGTCTTACATTTGTCATAATTTTTTTCCTAGGGCAATTGAGAGGACACAGCTTGTCCACTCCAGGATTCGTCTACATGTGACATCACACGAGCCAAGAAGTGTGTGTTATTCTTGCTCTTGGGGGGAAATTATAGGTTTGAGCTTTTGAGTTTGGCTTGCCACACTGATGGTGAAGCAATCTATATTTAGACAGATATGTGAATATACTAACCCAGAACATATAATTTTCCTGTGTTTCCCACTCCCAACAAATGAAGGTCGGTTACTGAATGGCGACCACAATAAAAAAGGACAATTTTGGATTTTAGAAAAGCCTGCTTTGGTAAGTAGGTACAGCTCTAAAAGAAAGAATCAACCCTTCTGTCACCAATTATAATGGAGACACTTCAAACTGAGCAAGGCATGGTCTAGCTGAAAGGCACGATAAGTGGGAGACAAGAGGAGCCCAGCTGGGCCAAACTAACACCAAACAACTGTCCACCTCAGGTCCACCACTGAATACATGCCTCTATTTTCAGCTGGGCTTCTTTTCAGACCAGCCGTGAATCATAGGCTGATGAAACCAATGCTATCAGAATGATGGAAAGTGGGACTGCTTAGTGCATCCGCTTCCTGCCACAATTACAAATCCCGCACCTAAACAACATGCGTGTTCTGCAATAATCTTCCTGCACCAACATAAAAAGCCATCCAAAATAAATTGTGCCTATATGGAGCACTCCTTCTCATGATTGATTTTTACTGACAGATTTGGAGTGAGATGGGAGTGAGATATATAGAGGAAAGAATAGGATGGCAGAAGGAAAGAAGGCCATAAAATGACAGGGAAGGGGGTACAGGCAAGAGGAAAAGAGAACACCTTCCCGGGTGAAGAATAGATGGCTAGGCTTGTGGCACAGAAATTCCACTAACTACCATGACTACTGAGGTCCCAGTACCTTCAGCTGTCATTGACTCATGTTGCCACCCTAAAACCCAGGGTTTTAAACATTTGTTCTGAAAAAAACAGCAAGAAAGCTTTTCTTTGTGCAATGCATAAACAGAATGTGAAGAGGGCAACCCAGGAGGGCAACTGGAATCCTATAATCATCAGTGTGAACTTGGCCCAAATGTGATTTCCTTTTACTTAAAAATTCTCAGCTAAAAATGTTGCTATGCTTAATGAAGATGCCCATGTAAACCCTTTTTGGCAGGCTTTGGTAGCCTACTGTGGTATAATTATGTCTAAGTTCTTGTTACCTCTCAAGAACTGGGGTCAATACCATCCCTAGTGACAGACATTAAAGCCAATGGAAAATTACACTAGGGATGTGTTTGCCTCCTACGAACAAGACGCTCCTTAAGTACAATGACTCCAAAGTGAAATATAACTCCCTCTCCCAGCTAGGTAACAAAAGGGTCACAACCCAGTCAGATGCTGTACCTCAGTGGGCTGTAAAATATTTTGATTAAAATAAAGACGAAGGGACCAGATGGTATCTATCCCACACAGGGCACTCTGACCCTTTGCCCTTAACAAAAACTCATCCCACCCCACAATCTCTGAGTAGATAGAGTTGCTGATACTTACGACTGACAGGCAAAAGACATGCCAAAGATAGGAATGCAGCGAAAAATGCCCTCCCAGCGTGTGTAACTGACCCGCTGCAGCCACTGCCCGCCAAACAGGCCATGTCTGAAAGAACTGAGCACAATCTGCAGCCAAGGAAAAGAAAAGAGAGGTTACTAGCTAGACAACAGAGATGCCAAATGAAACCATAGTCTGGAAAGCCAGGTTACAACTTTACCACTGCTGTGAAAATGATCAAAGGTGCAGCAATTCCATCAGGGAAACTATGACGCTCAGGACTGCTTCGATGCACTATGCCATGTCTCCTCAGACTTCCTCCCCACACAAGGTGAATGGAAAAGCAAGTGCCCATGAGAACTACACATACTGCAGCAATCCACATCAGGAGGGATGTGAAAGGATGATACATACTATCCACTGAGTTTGCTGTCAAGTGGATGTTTTGTATGTCACTCAAATCTCTTCACTTGGCATGCTATACTTATCCATACCTAGTACAAACCTTACTTTAAAACCTCTCATCTCACACCATTCTATCTTTAGCCCCTTTTCCCTGCTGCACCTCCTCATGACCTCCGCTCCACAAAGTCAGCTCTGAAAAGATCTTGCCCTCTAAAATAGCTCCACCCTAACTGCCTCTTATATGTGGAACTCCATCCTTGAATATGTATGGTATGCCATCTTTCTCTTCCTTCATAACCTTCCTCAGAACCCACTGCTCTTCACAAGGCTTTTGACGGGATGGAGCAGGTGACCGAGGGCTTGAGGCCTCTGAGGACCCACCCCAGTGGCACTGCTGTTGTACTAGGCTCACTCCCTTCCTGACTGGAGCAGCAGCTTGGTAGGGTTTCCACATTCCTGTCCTGAGCAACAACCCCCCCCCAAAAAAAAAACACTGGGGGCACAGCAAGTCCAGTCTGGGCTCCTTAAAAGCACCATTGTCCTTTTGCTTCTGAAGGCTGTCTGTCAAAGGTACTTTTTCACAAGTTAAATGGATAAAATTGATATTTAAGTAGCACCATGTATCAGGAACAATTTAAAAAGCATTTCTAAAGCATTTCTATTCTATCTACCGAGCAAGATGAAACAAACAAAGTAGATGTTGGTAGTGTGAAGGAGCATTTACTGATAAGAAGGTATGTAGGGAAAAGTGTCTCATGAGGGACACAGGATAAGTCAGAAGAACTAGGGGCTACATTCACATTAACAAAATACAAACTTGATTTTGAACAATAGGGTTTTCCTTAAATCTCACTGGGGGGGTTTGGGTGTGCAACTAAGTATGGACACAATTTTAAAAGAAGAATGTGCCTTTCCACAGGGTCCAGCAATTCTAGATATGCCACAGAACTCTTTATTTCCCCCCTCTAATCCTTGTACAGTATCTAACTGTAAATAATTTCAGGTATAAGTAATTGCAGTTGCTCTTATCTCAACCTCCCCGGTCTCTGTTGTTTTCATTTTAAGACTGTCAGGTCCTTGCCCTCAAAGAACCATCTAGGTTTTGTTTACAAAACTTAGGAAAGCATTGTGTGCCTGAAGGAAAAAGAAGAGACTGTGAACATTTGCACCTGTCTGCATGATCCTCTTCAGCTTTGGCACAGGGCGCCAACCTGGCCCATTCCATTCTGCAACAAGGGCCAATGCTACATTCCCTGCTGCTTCTAGATCACTGCATTTCTTAATCTACCAGTCGGGAGACATTTTTAAGGCAAATGGAGAGACAGGCTAAAGGCTCTACCTAACCTCACCTCAGAGGTGAGATTAGACACAGCCGAAGACATAAGGCCAGTTTCTGGAGAATCTGATAACTGGCTCTGGGTCTGAGGGAGGACCTGGCAAATCTTGACAGATCGAGGCCTGAAGGAAGCGTTTGATTAAATGCTCTGGGAGGGAACATGAGGGAAGCAATCAAGGAAGTCTTGTGACAATTTGGGTGGCCCAAGAGCCCAGAATATACTGTGGTGTATAAATACACCGAATTGTTGGAAGCTGGGGATGTGGCACAGTCTCCCAGTAGTATTAAGTCACAAAGCAATATTAAGTCATGTATGGGAGACACATTCTTGCGTCTGTGACCACTTAGGATAGTAAGCAGTTTCCCCGTTACTGGTAGAGGTTGTCTTGTACTGCACAGTGCCAGTAAGACTAAATAGAGTCTTTTCAAAGTGAAACCCTGAGCCTACAAACTGCTGCCAACAGGCAGACCTGGCATCCATTTAAGTGTCCTCAGAGAGCCCACCCACAAGGAAAAGCTTGGACACAGGAGAACTGAATTTGTACTGATGTTTTCTTTAGATGAATTAACCACTAACCACTGAAGAAACGAAAGCCTTCCAGTCATTAATACTGACCACAAACATAAACACAGTGTAAAAGATCAGAGCCATGGCACTGAAGGACTGTATGGAAGCCATCATGTTCCTCTGGAGGCTCAGCGGAAGCACAATGCAGAGGGAGACAATAATCAGCAGGACTACCCGGAAGACACCGTTCACCTGAAAATTGAATGCCAAGAGACAGAGTTACTCTGAGCACACCCAGAAAAGGCCTAAGGGGATGTAAAGGGGAACAGTGAACTAGACATACTAGAACCAGACTTATTGCCCCGCCCCTAATGGCACTGAGAGTTTAAAAGGTCATCTTGCCTTTTTATGAAAGCAAATTAAAAGGTTTAGGAGCATAAGCAAAGTTGATTTCTGCAGACCCTTCTGTGATTAACTCAGATAGTCACTGGGTGCCACTGTTGCTCTGCGAAGCTCTTTCAACTCCCATTTTAAAGCAAGAGCCTGTTGGCTCTTTTAAATGGTAATCCAAACGGAACCTATTTGAATATCTTTTATGCACTTCCAGCAAATAAAACTAACCTTGCTGCAGAAAGGAAAATGAAGGAAGAGATGGAAGCCTTCGAAATTCTGACCCAGAAAATTAACCAGCAGCTTTTCCCCTGGTATTTATTATAGTGGAAGACTTGGAAATGCCTAGAAATATTTAATACCTAATTTGGCTTTGGTTATGACACATCTTTTTAACTTCTCAGCTTCTTAATCAGAGCTTAACTACATCAGGCCGGAACAGATAAAAACCATGCCAAAACTCTAGTGAATGTCCATTTAGCTTTTCTGGCCTGCCCCTGCCCCTACGGATTGTTCTCTGGTCTGTTTCTCCACTAGGAATTAAGCTATTCCTACATTGAACTGACAAACAGCAGATATGATATCAGCACTGCACTTTCTTGACCTGTTTTGCTGAGTTATTCACCATCTAACTGTGAACTGCTTTTTGGAGTTTTGAGATTAACAAACAGACTAATAGATGCAAAGACTTACACTACAGCTGCAAAGCACTGCTTAGTTCTCCAGTTCTGTACAAGTCTTCCCTCAGAGCCTCAATAAGACGACTTGAACATCTCTGGCTTTCAATTCTCCATCAACAGAAGGAAAATAATAGGTCGAGTTCTATCTTATCCTACCCCATGTCACCATCAAGATAAACGTGTTCTAAACATCATAAGAAGTCTCTCATGCTACTGTACTTGGGGGTTTGAAGAGGTACATACAAAGGTATGATTGCTAAGTAAACAGATGGCAGAAAGACACAGACAGTGCTAAGCAAAGGGATTCACAGAGGAAGCATTCTTTGCAAAGCATGCACTTGGAACTGACCCTTGACCATGAAAATGGACATATATACAGCATGAGGTTATTTATTAGCCTTGAATCAGTCTATTCAAGGGCAAAGCGTTCCATGACTTCAGTGCTTGCTGCTAAATGGCAAACCGGTGAAAGATACTTTCAAAATCGTAACATGTCTTATATGCAAAACAACAACAGGAAAGGTAAAATGTTCTGAATGTTCTGATGCTGATCAGGTCAACAGAAGCAAGCTTACCTCAACTCCAAATAACCGGGCAAAAAAGTTTGAACCCAAGTCACCAATAACAACGTAGAAAGCAATGCAGGTTCCTAGCATCAGTCCAATCATACTGCAAAAGTACACAAATAGGGAGGTCATTCCAGAGCAAAGATTTCCCTTGGAATGCAGCCCTTATTACTACCCAGATATGTGATTAATTGTTGCATTCAGATGGGATCTGCACTCTGTAACATGTTGGCATCTTCTATTTCAGATCCCCTAGATATCTTTCCTGAGAATTTCTCACCATCTTGCCAATAGAGCACTTTTAGGAGCAGCATTGATTATGTATATTGGGTGCTGGGCTCTTTTTGTAGCAGGAACTCCTTTGCATATTAGGTGACACACCCCTAATGTAGCCAATCCTCCAAGAGCTTACAGAGCTTTTCTTACAGGGGCTACTGTAAGCTCTTGGAGGACTGGCTACATTAGGGGTATGTCGTTTAATATGCAAAGGAGTCCCTGCTACAAAAAGAGCCCTGTAGGGAGACTGTAGTGGAGACTATGGCATCATATTTTTGTATGCATCGAATCACTGATAGCAATCGGTATGATATGAACAGGCTCACCTGTGTATACTGAATAGTCCCAACATTACATATTATCCTACAGAACTCTAGAGAGACCACATACAGTCATAGAGAATAGATCACACAGCAGCACACACTATCTGTTGCCACATTTCCTCCCTCAGCTTTTATGAGCCTAGAAACAAATGCTCTGAATTAGCTTTACGTGGCAAGTGAAGCCCAAACATTTCAATCTGTATGCAACATTTTGGCCATGCCAAGAAGAATGAAGAATCTGTACATCAAAACTGGAAAAGACAATGGTTCTGAACTCTTCAACCAATAGTGTGGTGTTTTCCCCTGAAATTTATAATTAATTCAGAAAGGGGTGCCAAGTGCCTCCTGAGGACTTTTTCTGAGAAAGTATCTTAAAATGACTTTGGATTTTATTCTTTAAAAAAAGATGATATATCAGTTGTACAATTGCTTTCATGTCATGAAACTGCTTTATTAAATAGTTTCAAACAGCCATAAGTTTGAGACTAGAGAAAGGGCCATGGGGGCATTCGTTTTACGAGGCTCTAATAAAAGGGACATGAAGCACCATACAGCAAGGAGAGTTTAAGGCCTTCAAGTGCAAGCATGTTAATTTAACTGCTTTCCCAAAGCCAAAGATGGAAGCTCTGCTTTGGGAGTGTGCTCTAAAAGAGGCTATTATTCACTTATACCTTTTTTTTGGGGGGGGGGGAGCAGAAACTAATAAGTGACTCTCACATTACCCAAGGGTATTCCATCAAAGTGAAGGGGGGGGGACACAAAGAAACCTAACTTATTCAGTGGATGGGGGGGGCTTACCTCCTCCCTAACAGAAGGTGAGCCACATTTTAATTAAGAGATAACCCTGGGAACACAAATGCCCTTCCCTTTCATGGCAGCATAGACCACTTCCTGTCTGGTTTCCGATCATATAACATCCCAGCTGCAATTATAGCAATTGCTTACATGGAATATTTTTAGTCATCTCTCTCAAAGCAGTTTAGCAGCTGGAGTAAGGAAGAGAGCCAGGATCATACGACTGGCCAGCTTGCCAAGGATCACAGTTTAAGAAACTCAGTCAGAAAGAGCAACCCTATGATGCCACTAACACTCAAATTACAGCTTGAGTTAGCTAGGGGGCCCTTTTGATATTGTGTTAGGGACACACAGCTACATATCCACAGGTGCAGGGGAAGAGGAGCCAGAAGCTTATATTTCACAATTCAAGCACTGGGCACACCAAAGTAAGATCTAGTAACTTTTCTCTTTTACACAGAAGAAATACTACATTTAGAGAAAACACAGGGCTTCAAACAACAATAAGAGCATCAGACCTTTATCCCAAAGATGTTACTGTTTGCAATTTACTAATGTTGTCCAGTGTCATCCTTGCTCTATGGAGAAGGAAGCAATCACAGACGGGATAAAAAGCAGTTACTGAATTACAGTATGCACAACTCTGTTCACAGACTGAAGCAAGAAAGCTGAACGGTTCTTGCCTGTGTGAAATACCAGGCCGTATGTGGCTTGCTTTTGTCACGGAGCGGGCAGCAGGGGAAGGAATAAAATCCAATTACCCAAATGCAGCAAGTAGACCCCCCATCACCTCTTCATAGTACTGGGACAGTGCATGAAGCCATTTGCCACAAGCATCTTAGGGGGGGAAATCTGGAAGTGAAATATTAAAGGACGCTGCTAATTGCACAGGGTCCTGCCACAATAATATGGGGAAATGGCTGTATGCATATAACACAGACACTGCTGGAATGGTTACTTGCAAACCCGGAAGGTTCAGCACCACCACATCCAGATGGCAGGGAACTCATTACTGACACCAAATTTCTTTTGCCCTCAGAAGTATTGCTGTGTTTGTCCAAAGCTTTAAGTAGTCACAACCATTATTCTGCTTAAATGAGCAGTGCAGCCATACAGATATTCAGACCAGTTGAGCACCCATAGCTGGAGAGTCCAGGGCACTAGGAAGAACTTTTCAAAAAAGGACCAGTATATTCAATTTTGCAGCATAGAGACCAGAGTGACATCACGCTCACCCTACAGACTGGAACAAGATGGGTAATATGGCAAAGCTCCCAAGACAGTGGTTGTGATTAGACAGAAACACAAACGCTAGATCTAAAACTGCAGACAGGCCTCCACATCTTAAGGGTTCATATCTGAACAACTTATATTTTAAATTACAAGCAAATAATTTAAAAGACTAGAACCTCAAAGAAAAGAAGAGTTTACCTGGTTTCCACCAGCATTTTTCCAGCTTTCCCATAGGCATGGAAGGCTAGCAAAAAGAAAAAGGGGGAGAGAGACATGCACACATCACCACAATTATTCAAACATATGTTCAAAGTATGGAACGTAAAAAATGAACAACAGTCACCAGAGGCAATTCAGAAGGCAGGACTCTGCCAGTTTTGTATTTCTGAGTTGGTTTTCTCTCCCCCTTCTGCCAAACCCTGTTTTATTTTTTTCCCTCTTGACATACCATTCACAAATCAGAAGCCACATAAAAACAAATTTGGGCAAAAGATTCAAAGCAAGTTCCCCCCCTCCCACCAAAAGGCCAACAGCGCTAAGTAGGAGTAACACATGGCTACAATTAGAAGAAGAAAGTCAGCACAGAAAAGAAAATATGCAAGCATAAGAGACTGTGTGGCAAAAAGTTACTTCAGTGCAAAATTTCAATCAAGTTCCCATTTTTATTCCTTCCTTCCCCATTATGACTGAACCACTTTGGGTTGCTGATGGGAGGATTGAGACAGTGCCCAGAATGTTCAGCCACCCTGAGCATATCCATGATTCACAAGCCACACCAAAGGGATCTGACCAAGAGATTTCTCTTTCATTTCATACACTGGCCACCGCTTGCAGCACAAAGCAATCAGCATCCTTGAAATCACCACTTCTCTGGAAAGCTCAGCTTGTATTTTCAAAAGGCACATTAACATGGGGATAAGAGGAAAATTACCACCTCTACTTCTGAGAGAGAAACTTTTTAAACTGGGTCTGTTACTAATGCCACATTCATGTGAAATGTTTACAAAAGCCAACTGGCTTTCAACCCTCAGTTTGCACAATGTTCATATTCTCTTGGTGGAATCCAAGTGCTAAAAACAGATCAGTCACCCTAGTGCAGGGATGTAACAAAAAGAGGGAGGACAATGGAAAGGGTATGCCCTTTCCCAAAGCAAGAACCAAGGTTGATTTTTAAGAACCCTGATACATAACCCAGGTTTCTATTAGGACCTAAGGAATTAAGCCACCCTTCATTGGCTAGAATCCCTCAGTGGATTCAAAGAGATGCCTACCTTACATTTCCTTTATAAGCTCACTCTGACAATGGAACGTTCCCAAATACAAATGCATAGGATTGGGCTGAAAGTTACTCATAACAAAAGAGATGATACCCTGCTGAGCATACTCTTGGTTGAATCAACATAGGGTCAGTGCTTCAAAAGCAACCCCCAAATGAGGCTATTTTGGCAAAATTATGCACCTGATTAAAAACTGGGAGTCTACTTTGAAGAAGGTAGGACACAAGACGGTACTGGTAATTTGTGGGACTAAGGTACCTTCTGTTAACTCGGTGGTTCAATGTACAGAAATGAAAAGCACTGGAACAATGGGATCCTGACAAGGAAACGTGCCTAACTGTTCTCCTGAAATTCTACACAGGTGGGCCGCAAGTTCATCTTCAACTTTGAGGCTCAGTATGGATGCGCCTTGAAAAAGCTAGAAGCATTTGGTCCAAATCCCAAATCTAGCCATTAATTCAGCAGAAATTATTGAGTAAATTATTCTCTCAGAGCCAATTCATATGTTATTCGAGGTGGGTGATATACGTAAACAATTGCTCATGTGAGAACTGTGACCAGTATCACATCAAATGATGTACTTATAGATGACTGAAGGTGCTAATGCCATGAAACAGGATTTCTGGTTTCTTGTGTACCCTTTTTGTATGGAAGTACCTCCTCCAGTATTACACTGCTACTTGTTAACAAGTAGTTGTACATACGGACTAGCTATCTCAGTACCCTACTAGTAAGTAGGAGTGTGTCTGCAGTATGAGAAGGAAGAGCTCCTACCTAATTTAAGCTTTGGCAATAAGGCACACTATAAATCCAAGCTAATAAATGAAGCTCATTCATCTGTGCCTGCCCTGGATCATCAGCCTTTCAGATTTTTAATTTGGCATCTCATCAGTGTCAGAGGACAACT